TATCTCTGTTTCTGTCTTTGTGTCTCTGTGTGTGTCTGGTCTCTGTCTCTTTGTGTCTCTCTGTGTGTGTCTCTCTCTTTTTCTGTCTGTGTCTGTGTCTCTGTCGTCTCTCTTTGTCTCTTTTTGTCTGTGTCTCTGGCTCTCTGTCTCTCTCTCTCTCTCTCTTTCTCTGTCTCTCTCTCAGCACAGTTCAGACTCGGCCAGTCCAGCTCCCCAAGTAGACTCGGTGCCGTCCATCGGAAGCTGACCTCTGGCTGCCCCTCTGGCGGGTTTTTCAGGAGCTGTCAATCGCACAGAAGGAGTTTGCCCTCTCCTGCCTGTTAATAGATTCTGTGTTTTGTAACGTTAAGTGCCACCGAGGCAGAGGCGACCCCTGACCGCTTGGCGGTCACACGGGAGGCCGGTGCCCATCAGCGCAGCTGTGTGGACGTGGCACTTGTAGGCACTGGAAGACCAGAGAGCTGGGAGTGACCCTTGGCTGCTGGACTGGCTGACTTAATGATCTCGGAGGTCAGCTTGTTAGATCCCCAAAGACATGGATGGAAGACACGCTATACCATACCATCTTTAGGAAAAGAGCAGAGAATCTTGGCTCCGATGGCATTATCATCCTACAATGATAATTCTACATCACAAACAAAAAAAACCCTCAAAACTCCAGGCCTGCAAGTGGGTTCCAGGTGACGGCTGACCCTGCAGGACGGAGCAGAGCCGCCCCCCGGGCTCTCGCGGGCCGTGAGTCCGCACAGAAGAAGTGGCCTCGGCGTTCTCCGTCGGAGCTGCTGGTCAGCTGCCGGCCTTTGAGCCACAGCCCCCCTCCCCCGTGCATCATTAGGATTTACAGCTTTGGGGGACAGCGGCCCACGCTCCATCTGGGTGCACTGGAGCATAGTTGGAAGGGATCAGAGGTAATGCAGGTGCCAGGGACTGCCTGGCATCTGATGGACAGTGATGCGGCCCCAGCCCCACCCTGTAAGACGCGCACCCCCTCCCCAAGAAGAGAACGTGGAGAAGAAAGAGGTGACCAATCACCCCAGAACCAACAAGTGTCAGCAGCGTCTAAAATAGATCACAAGGGGGGAGCCCCCTTTATGTGTGAGCACGTGCAACCCCCAAAATCTGGAGGATCAAAACAAAAAAAGACTGCCTTCAAATCGATTCTGACTCCCAGTGACCGCACAGGACAGAGCAGAGCTGCCCCATGGGGTCTCCAAGGTTGTGAATCTTACAGAAGCAGATGGCCTCAGCGTTCTCCCTCGGAGTGGCCGGTGGCTTTGAACCACCAACTTTTTAATTTGGTTTTGAACCACCAACTTTTTAATTCGGCTTTGAACCACCAACTTTCTAATCCGCAGCAGAAACTTTATAATGTATGTGTAACAGGTGGCCTGTTGGTCAAAGAGCCCCATTGCCAACCCAGAATCAGGTGTTTTGAGTCGACTCGCTTCTCCTAGTGAGACAGGTGGGCCGTCTCCTTCCAGAGCCACGCACAACCTCTGAAAACATGAGAGGGTCACCTGAGGGCTGGCTCCCAACTGCACAGGTGTGACGATATGGTAACCTGGAGCTCAGAGGTTCAGAGTCTGTCCTGCTGTTTACAACCTCTGAAGACCCACACGGAGGGTCGGCCAGGAGTGGGCAGCAGCGAGAGTGACCGTGTAAGGTCCAAGGTTCGCATCTACCGGTGCCTGAGGGAGAGATAGGCATCTTCCTGTGTGAGCTGCTCTGGGCTCAAGGGCCGGGCGGTGGCTGAGCCCACAGCCCTGGGAGTGGACGGCACTGAGGCCATCACCCCAGCAGGAATCTGCCACCGTGCACTGCAGGCTCTGAGAAGAACCCCACCCCATAAGGACAAACAGACAGTCGGCCCACAGCTCAAGCCCCTGGGAGAGTCTGTTCTTTCTAGAACTTACATCTGCATTCTCACCAGCACACGGTGACCTTGTAGTTTTGTGTCTCCTCCATCCCTGCCCCCTGCCGTGGACACAATCTCGACTCCACGCGGGTCAGGGCAGAACTTCCCGCTCGCTTTACAGGGCTTTTTTTCCCCCAGGCTGAGAGCTTTCAGCCACAGATTGCCAGGTCTTGATTCCAAGGTGCCTCTGAGGTGGATTCGAACCAGTAACCCTTTCGTCAGCCGCCACATAGGTACAGCTCCAGCGACAGTGGGTTTGGCGTGTCCTACAGTGCCGCAGGGGGCTTCAGGGTGGACCCATGTGCCACGGCGCTGTTAACACCCTAAGTTCTTGGTGCTGGCTGTGTCCCAGGCTTCCCCCTGGCCACTGCACCTCTGCGTGGGCTAGCAGCAAACCAGTCGGAGCTCCCCAGTCTCCTCCTTTCTCCAGGCCCCCCAACACACAACAAAAGAAAACTCCTTTCTTGTGGATCAAGACAGTGGCCCCATTACAAAAATCCTCTCCTGTCCCTCTATAGGAGAGGGGAAGGGGTAGGGTCGAGCCCCACCCACACCCTGGGGTCAGAGGACAAAGACGGATCAAGTGAGGTCCCACCTGAATGGGCCCAGGTGAGGCTGAGCATCATGGCAGGACGGGGAGGCAGGTGGATGCTGCTGGGCTGTATCACTGTATTGTCGCCTCCTGCATCACAGGAGGGGGACCGGGGAACCCCTGGTGAGAGTCCTGGTGGTCAGGGACTCTGGAAGGGCAGGGCAGGGCCCAGGAGATGGGGGAGAGAGGTGAGTGGAGGACAGGGAAGAGTGGTGGACAGACGGGACACACAGATGGTGATAGGAGATGTGGGAGGAGAGGAGAGGAGTGCACGGGGCAAAGGGGGAGAAGGAGAAAGATGAACTGGGAGAGGGGAGTGCGGGGTGGACAGAGACGTGGGGACACAGGTGGAGAGGCGGTGATGGGTAGGGGACGTGGAGGAGAGGAGAGCCATCATGGACAGGGAAGAGGAGGAGAAGATCATGAGGGACATTGAAGAGGAGGGGTGATGATGGACAGATAAGAGTGAGGTGGTCTCAGGTGGGAGAGGAAGCAGAGGGATGGGCCTCATGGGTGGAGATGGATGGATGGACAGAGGAACAGAGACGGCGGTGGGGGTGGACGCAGAAGAGAGAGTCATGAGAAGAGAAATAAGGCAGAGAGATGGGAAGGGAAAGCCCTGGACCAAGTCTCCCCATCATGGCCTGTAAGGACCACCCTGGATGCATTTCTTCTTAAGACAGACCTGTTTGTCCTTCAGGCCGTCCGTGGGATGTTCCAGACTCCTCTGCAGCACCACAGCCCAAAGGCAGCAGTTCTTCCTCTGTCATCCTAATTTGCTGTCCACTTCTTTTATGCTTTAGGAAGCAATAGTAAAAAGGCTATGCCTCGAATCAGGCACACCTTAGCCTTTACAGTGACACCCTTGCTCGTTATTGGAGAGGTCCTGGACAGCAGATTTCCCCAGTGAAATGTCTTTTGCTTTCTTGAAGGCTACTATCATAGGTGTTGAAATCATTAGGACTTCAGTCTTTTCTCTATCTAGTATGAATTTCCACTTCCCATCCAAGGAGTCCAATAATCAAGAACTTATTCTTCACTAGTTGAACTGAACTAGATTTTAGTTTGAAGGGGACTTCAGGGGAGATTTTGTTCTTGTTGTTTAATGTGTAAATATGATTTCAGGGCAGTAACCATGCACAGTTACATGCATACAGTTATGTACAGATGCTACTGTAGAGATACTATGTATCTAGAATCTATAGAGATACTATGTATCTAGAATCTATAGAGATACTATGTATCTAGAATCTATAGAGATACTATGTATCTAGACTCTCAGGAGCCCTGCTGGCACAGGGGAGACACACTCAGCTGTAACCACAAGGTCAGGGGTTTGAACCCACCAGCCTCTCCGAGGGAGAAAGGGAAGGCTGTCTGCTTCTGGAAAGATTCACGGCTTGGAGACCCCATGGGGCAGCTCTGCTCGGTCACGCAGGGTCGCTGGGAGTGGACAGGGAGTGGAGGGTGGTGGGCTTGTCTGGGGAAGGGTTAAGTAACAAAGGGATTCTGGACACGACTATTTTAGGGCGGTGAGGTCATGGAGGCTGTGGGGTGTGGATAAGCCAGCAGGAACCCTGCCGGGGTTTGGAATCCGTGTAATAAAGCTAATGGAGCTTTGCGGAGTGGCCCGCTCTGTGCACACTTGGGGGGCTGGCCAGTGTCCAGCGCAGACACAGAGGAGAGCGGGCGGCCGAGCCTGGCCAGGCTGAGCGATGGAGGGACCCGGGGACCGTGCCTTCAGGCTCCTGAACGAATACTCCAGTGGTTTCATGGTGTCTCAGGTAGGAACGCTGGGGACACTGACCACCACCCCGGGGTCCTGGGGCACGGGCCCCTGACCACTCACTCATGCCAGGACCGCAGACCAGCACCACTGCCCTGGTCTATGGCCCTGTTCATATTCATGGTTTTAAAGTGTGGTTTGAGGGAAAGCTTACAAGACATATTGTTTTCTCCATTAATCATGTGTCCTCATTTTATTCTGAATCATCGATTCCAAGTCCCAGGGTGCCTGCCTGGTCACTTATTTAGTATATGTTGTCCCTCTCATCAGCTTTATTAAGAAATATTTATGATCTATTTATTGATTTGTTATTAATAAATCCCGAGGGTGCCTGCCTGGTCACTCATTTAGTATATGCTGTCTCTCTCATCAGCTTTCTTAAGAAATCTTTATGATCTATTTATTGATTTATTATTAATAAATCCATGAGTATTGGTAACAAATTCTTATAAGTACTACTAAAAAGGATCATCAATAAGTATTTATAAGCTCCATCAATAAGGTGGCCTCATGGCAAGAAGCTGTGCTGCAATCCCAAAGGCACACAGTTCAAGGCCACCAGCTGCTCCGTGGGACAAGGATGGGAAATGCCCTCCTGTGCGATTAACTGCCCCTGAAAACCCATCAGAGGGTCAGTTATGGGTCAATTTAGACTCTATGATACACAAAACAACATTAACAAGTAATGATTATTATTAATAAATTCTTATTATAAATATTGCCAAGAACTGGTCCCTCCTGGCTACATGTCCAAAGTATGTGAGGTGGAGCTTCAAAATCTTTGCCTCCAGAGAGAAATTTGGTTCCACCATCTCTAGGATAGACTTGTTTGTTCTCCTAGCTGTCCATGGTATGTTCTATACTCTTCTCCAACACCACAGCTCAAACAATTCTCTTTCTATCCTCCCTAGTCATTGTCCAGCTCTCTGATGCATAACAAGTGATTGCAAAGACCATGGCCTGGATCAGGCACACCTTAGTTTCTAGACAGATATCTTTGAACTTCAGCACTCTGCAGGGGTCTCTGACAGCAGATTTTCCCAATGCAATTCATCTTTTAGTATCCTGGCTGCTGGTGCCAAGGGATTGACTCAGGATACGACAGGGTTCAGAGCTTCTGTGCATAGGATTGCTATGAGTTGTAAGCGACTTGATAGCCCATAACAACAATGCTGTAAAAGTATGCATGTGTGTGTGTGTGATTATATATA